TGGGCCGAGAATCGCTGCTCAAGTGGCCGTCGATGCGCACTTCCTCTGTAGCCAGTCTCGCTCGTTATTGTCTCCTTAGTTGGCGACAGGTGCGTTCTAGCTCCGGATTTAACGGTAGTAAACCTCCCGACTGGCTACGGATCATGCACTACCTGTACACAGAAAAGCAAGCAAACCCGTGAAGGCACAAGTGGGAAAAAGCAAACAGTCAATGCGGAATTGAAAATGCTAAAGTAACAGAAATCACGTTTCTTCAACAATCTAGCCATCCCCGGCAACGGAAAAACTTAACACGCTTCTACCGTCACGCTAGAAAGTGGCCAAGTGTAACCACCTACTAATGCGTAGTATAGCAGATTTAGTTCTCATTGTCAACCCGGGTCCTAGGTGTGATGACTACTCCGTGAAAGTCTTGTTATCAAGCGGTTCAAGTCTAGTGAAGGTTTAATTAAACTAGCAAGCAAAGCAGTGAAATTTGTGTTCAAGTTTAGAGAGGTCACCTGGATATGGTTCCCCCTAGACTGTAGTTAATCCAGGTTGTAATTTACCAAGTTCAAGTTCAATGATAGTCATACTGCGGGAGGTTCTTAAACAGTCTGCAGTCTCGACTAACGGTCTCCAGACCCTCTCAATCTGAGTCCCCAGCGGGCGACTAACCTCCACCAGATTAAACAGATTGAGGCCCTAACGTACCAAACCTCCTCTACCGAAGTAAATCCGGTACATAATAGTAAATTGACTCCTCGACTAAAGTCATCAATTCACTACCTTCAATCAAGGGTGCTCTATCAACCTAGGCAAATAATCTCTTTCTAGGTCAAAGCAGAAATAACAGGAATTTGATCAGGATTCATGATAATCAAGAATGGGATTCTGCTTCTGGCGATCAGTTAGCACTTCTCCAAGCTCAAGCCGGGCTCCAATGGTGATGAAGATCGATCTAAGGCGCTTGAAGAATCAGGTTCGTCACTTTCTCCCTCTAAAACTCGGAACCCTTCAAAAATCAGCCTTCTTTTCCTTAAGAACCAGCAGGTCGCGATCCCCGGTCGGGTATTTCAGGTGCCCGGCCGGGGATTTTGAAACGCAGCGCAGCGGTGAAGGGGTTAATACCCGATCGAGGTCCAGAATACCCGATCGAGTATTTTTGCTCTCTCGTCAAGACCCCTTCTGGACTTCAGACATCCCCAGCTGCTTTTCCCCGGCCTCGCCTTGCATTTTACCCGGTTGGGTATTTTAACTCCTGGCCGGGTATTTTTCTCTTCCAGCGCCCTTTTACTCCAACGTCTTCCTTTTGACCCAAAACTCATTTACTTGCCTTCACATAAACGCCAAGTCCTGAAATATGACCTAAAAACACAACCTAGCGTGAAATCGGCTTAAAACACGAGAATCAACGTCTCAAACGGCTCAAGAATGGAGGTAAGAATATGTGCAATAAATGGTGTATCACTTCTACCGCACAAAATGACAGAATGTGTAACCAGAGGATTGGATCATCAAGTAAAATTTTCTTTAAGGACTTCTACTCCGTAGATAACTGTCCCCACTCGTCAGACATCAACTTTAAATCTGAATTTTCGTTATGGGACAATATAGCAACATTTCTTAATTGTAAAACACGACTAATGCAACGGACCCTCGAAAGTTTTCCTTACACTTTCTGTTAAACAAACCCACAAATGACCCTCTAGTTATAAGGCACGACTGACGCAACTTTCATATCAGTAAATTATTTGTTTCCCAAACAACTCTTGGTAACCATGTATTTATCCCATTCAAATGAGATTCACGAAACACGCTAAAATAATAAAAGGGGCAGAAGGGCAACTATATCCCTTCTAGGACCCCCGGTATGTATCTTAAAAAACCTCCAAGACGACAGATATGACAAAAGAGAAATTCAGACTAGCAGACATTCCTTCTAAGACCTTTAGGAATGTTCTTTAGAAAATCGCAGACAATGATAGGCTGGAACAGAAGAGCAAACAATACTAGTTATAGTTCCCGTTTAGGACCCCATACAAAAAGTACATATGTGGCAGAAGGGCAACCATGGTTCCCTTCTAGGACTCATACACATATGCTTAAAGAACTAATCACAATGACAAACAAGGTAGAAGAGCAACTCATGATGGCAAAGTTCTCTTCTACGACCTCATTAACATGCACCTCGGAGAACCATGGACAAATCAACATTTGGGGCGGAAGAGCAACTAAAATTAATCATAGATCTCTTTTAGGACCCCGCTTTATCATGTTAAAGCTTCTTCACATTGAGACGGGGCAAGAGAAACAAAGTGTACAAAAGGGACTCAACTCGAAGGAGTGAATTTTTATAATCGATACTAGGAACTAGGAAATATCACCTCGCTATTTCTCCACAGACACTATACAACAATATTCCAACACGCAAGAGGGTAATGAAAGAACCGTAGATAAAATGGTTGGGGGCAAAAGAGCAAACCAAGACTAGTCATAGTTCCCATCTAGGACCCCATTATCAAGCTTTATCCTTTGTTTCCGAAGGAAGGGAGGAAAAGGAGGGGAGGTGAAGGAAAATGGGGAGGGGAGGGGAGGGGAGGGGAGGGGAGATTTAGAAGTGAAGGAAATTGGGAGGAAAATGTTGTTTTATGAAGGAAAATGGAAAGGAAAGTATGTATTGGGAATTGTGATAGATATATTATTTAATTGGTTATGTAATAGTAAAATGATTAAAATGTGTATGGGTAGTGGAACAAATGTATTCTTTCTTACTAACTTGGTTCATTATTAAAAAAATCTTGATTTAAAAATCTCGTTTATTTTAACTTGATTTAAATTTTTTTCATAAAAATTGGATTACCTCTCATGTACAAGATGACATCCATTTCTTTCTAATAAGTTTATGTTTCGTGTAAAACGACGTTATGTATAATATAGATCAGTATTACGTAAACAATTTTAATTTATTAAATACAGACATTAAACATTTATACGTGTCTAGTACGAGAGTAATCAAATTAAAAATAAAAACGATAAATAATTTATATTTGCCTATCATAAGATACTTACCTAAATTATGTTGAACAACAAAAAAAAAAATATTTAAAAATATAAAATAAATTGGCCCAAAAGAATACGGGAGATGTACCTGTGAAGTGGAATAATTAAGAAAACATGCATCATTATCTAACCCACCGCCATCTCCTTTTCAACTTTTAATTTTAGTTTTTACGCTTTCTTTTCTTTTGATTTTAATATTACAAAATAAATATTCCCTTTTTAACCTAAATTCCTTATCGTCTGCCTTGCCAATTCATTTTTCCAATTCCTACCGAAGCTCTTCAGCAAAGACCCCAGCAGTTTCAGGTAATCCTTTCTCCTATCCAACACAGCCCGTCCCGTCTTTTTTTGTCGATTCAAATTCATTTCAGACGCCTATGCCATGAGACTTCCTCATACCTCCGATTTAGGTTTCTTTTTCGTCGAAGACTGCCTTTGCCAGCCCGCCATTTCCAGCAAGTGAGATCCAAAAGATTGCATGGAACCTAGCTTATGTTTTGGACGAACTAGAGCATCCATTCCCAAGCTATCTTCATCATATCCACTTGACTTTTCTAATTTGGGGAAAGAAAATAAATTGAATATTTGCTGGTTTTTTAGCGAAGAAAATGAAGAAGAGGAAATATAGAAGAGAGAGGAGAGAGGGAGAGGTAAAAGAAACGAAAAAGAGGACATTTTCTCTCCAATTTGGGGGGTCAGGTTGAACAGTGCTCATTTCCCCCTTTTCCCTCCCTTCGGTACTGTGCATGGCTTCGGAAACAAGGGAAAGTTTCTAGGAAACTCAACTTTCCTCCCTATTCTGTCCTTCCCCTCCTTTTCCTCCCTACAAAAACAGAGGGTTAGAGTCGTCACTGTCTTCTAGGACCCCGCTTTAATGCTTTATCATGTTAAAGCTTCTTAACATTAAGACAAATCAAGATCAAAAGTGTGTAAAAAGGGTGTCAACTATACATAATGAATTTCTTTATAAATGACTGTAGAAACTAGAAACGATCACTTCAGTGTTTCTCAACCTAGACACTATACGGACTGGCAAGAGTATACTTGTGTACAAAGGGACTCAACATCCAACATGGTAACTCATAGATATTACATTCAACACAACCAAACTATCTCGAGATCATATAAACCAAAAAGATCGCAACCGTTCCGAGAGGGCAGGAAAACTCTTGAAGACCCGTCATAATCCCTCCCACTTATTATCCAGGCCAGTAAACGGAAAAGATAGGTAGGAAACACTCCTTAGTTTGGAACCAATAACGAATTCGAAACCAAATATCACCCGTCAGCGGTCACTAGAGTAACAACTTGGAAACATAACTTAATGTGTAATTCACAGTCGTAATTCCGATTCTAAACTTGTAGAAAGCACGAAGCAACTACTTACAGGTGGCAGTCTGCGATTAGCAGCGAACTAATGGGTTTTTCGAAACCAGATATCTCTTTGTCTTCCTCAAAACCCTACTTTCGTTGATCACCAGGGGCAAGATGAAAAATCTTAAGCAAGCGGTAGAGGAATTTGAAACCATAGAAGGAAGAGTACGAGACTTTACTTACTTCCCATCAGCCATCACCCCCATTCTTGGAGAGAGATTATGAAGACGTTGCTGGGTGGAGGGAAAATGAATGAAGATAGCTTTATTTTTTGGCAAAATACAATTGTATAGCAATAACTTTCACGTTTTTTACAAATATAGTCATAACTATCCGAAAACACAAAATAGCCAATTCCGTCCATTTTGTTAACGACGTAAGGTGACGTTATGACTAGACTAACAGAAGACGTTGAGTTGGCGATTGAGTTACCCACCAACCTACGTGGAATTAAAAAAAAATCACAAAACCAGAAGAAAAAAAATGAAAATTAATCCTCCTCCCATTCTCTTCCCCTCTCACCGAGACTTATTAAACGCCGGCCTTACTGACTCTCTCCGTCTCCTCTACCTCTCCAGTCTCTATTTCGTCGTCCCTGAGATTCGCCGGCTGATCAATTTGGCAGGTAATATTTTCGTTTACTTTTCTTGACCGGAATTTCATTGAATTAACTTGAGTCTGTCTTTCCCCCATTTTCATTCACGACGACGATACATGTAAAACGGTTTCAGAAAGTAGAAAATGTAAAACGACTTCGACCAACCCAACCCCCAATTCTCTTATTTGGTCCCTCGAAGCTCACATAGACTCTGTTCGTTGCAAAAACAGAAGGCAGGTTGAGTAGACGCGACGACTGTTGATGACTGGGCGCGACGCAGAACCGAGGCGACGGGCTGCTGGTGGTCGAGGTGATGGCGGCGGAGGATCTAAACATAACAACGTCGATCCAGATCTGTCGGCTCCGGCTCCTCTAGTCGTGAGATGGAAAAGGAAGATGAAGATATTAAAGCGGTGGGATTTGTGATCTAGAAACTTGGAAGAGATGCGATGATTTTGTAACAGGGGAGAAGACGAGTGTGATTTGGAATTTGGTAAGGAAGATGGGAATGGGATTTGGAATTTGGGTGGCGATGAGATAGAGGGGAGGTTGGGGAGGTATGGACGACGGGTTGTGGCCTTGTGGATAAGGAAGAAGCTCAATTTGTTTTTTATTTTTTTAATTAATTTTTTTTAACTAGTGAAAAATTTGTTTTTTATTTTTAAAATTAATTATTTTAATAATTCAAAAATACGTGGCAATAATATACTGACTAGTTGCTGACGTGTGCGATGATTTGGCGTCCTAGTCAGCCTCACGTTAACCTAACTGACGGAGTTTCTAACACCGTTAAAGTTTCTAACGGAAATGGCTAGATTTGTCACATGGTCATCCAATTTTTAGGCTATTTTGTGTTTTCGGATAGTTATGACTATATTTGTCACAAACGTGAAAGTTATGGCTATACAAGTGTATTTTGCCTTATCTTTTTGGTATTTATAGAACAAGGTAGAGCTTTGAAGGCGGTTAGCTAGGACGCGTTTCGGATGCGTTTCTAACACGTTTCGGACATGTTTCGAATGTCGTTTATCTTTTTCGTGTATCGTTATTTCCCGCTTGACGTGTTATTTGAATTTCGATTGCCATCTTTTATGGTAAAAAAAATAATTTCATCCGCCAACTAGAATATTATTTTCTTGGGTAAATGCCACATTTGGTCACTGAGATTATTAAATTGTGTCATGTTTAGTCACTAGAAAAATTTAATATCAATTTTGGTCACTCTAATTACTGGAACCGGTCACAGTTAGTCACTCTGTCGTTAGTTTCTTTCTAACTCAATTGAGTTGGACAGAAACTAACGGGAGAGTGACTAAATGTGACATGTTTCAGTAATTCGAGTGACTGGAGTTGGACGGAGGCTAACGGGAGAGTGACTAAATGTGAATTGTTTCAGTAATTGGAATGACCAAAATTGATATTAAATTTTTTTAGTGACTAAACATGACACGATTTAATAATCTTAGTGACCAAATGCGATATTTACCCACAATGTAGTCAAAAGCGAGTTTCTATGTAGAAACGCTTTGATGATCTAGAAGCATAAAATCGTATGTTTTTAAGTTTTAAAGCGGAGTTTTTAACTACATAAGTTATAAAAACTGGGATTTTGTGTAGAAGCGTTTTAGTGACCTAAAAATATAAAATCGTAAGTTTTTAAGTTTTAAAACGCGATTTTGAACTACATAGTTTACCCATATAATGCTACTGACTTTTCCGGTATAACCTACTACAGGACAGTTTTACAATCATTTTAATTTGCTCCTAAACAAAAGCTATTTGTTATCATTTCAAAGCTATGTCAACTATCATCATGTGAGAAAAATAAAATGTTATAACTATGCAAAATATTATAATATAAGCTTTCAAATACAGCTTATCCCATAGAATAAAAAATTAGAAATATTGAGATTATTTTGATGACCACTCATAAAAAGAATAGTTTACAATCACAAATTACACAAGAAATATTACGAATATTAGAAAACACTAAAACTTTTATACAATTTTCAATACTGCTATTACAAAAATTATAGAATGACACAGCAAAATATTTAAATACTAAATGAAAATTGATTAATGTTAATGAAAAAATAGAACTCACCCGCACAACGTGCGTGCCAAAAGCTAGTAGTAGTAAATGCTTTTTCTCGATAAAAATAAAAATAATAACAATAAAATCCAAATTTAATGGGTTTTGGTCAATTGGTTAGGGTATTGAGCCTTTCTGTCAGTCCACTCAACATTTTTGTTTGTCACCCCATAAAAAATATGACATCATTAATGAAGTTGGGTAAAACTTGCTTAGATCAGAGTCCAGTCTATTGACCGGGTTGGTATAGTTAGGAACTGCAAATGAACAAATTTCCTCAAGAGCAACTTGTCATTCAAATTGGGAACAACCTATTGATACTTGACTCATAATTTAACAAGTCGACTGGTGAGTTGTCTCCTCAAAAGCTAGTTGAGCTTGTTGAGCTTGTTGAGCTTTAGAGTTATGCTTGTTGAGCTTACAAAATAACTTGATTTTAGATTTTGAATAGTAATTATTTACCAGAAGTGTATATGTATAGTAATTAATCAGGTTCTAATTGCTATTAAATAATATGATGGAAACTTTTGCTTCTTTGAGTAATGCTATGGTAGAAACTACTTAAAAAGTTATGAATACAATATACAAATATTACATTCTTTTGATCGAAATCTACTTAACTTTTATTATGCAGAACTTGGCAACATTATCATTACAAGATAATCTTTTGTCAAGAAAAAAAAGCTCCTCACAAGTTATAATTATCTTTCCGATTTTGCACTTCAATACATCTACAAATTGTTGTATAAAAGAAGTAAAGTAAGGTTAATATAGGGATGGCAACCTTGACCGACCTGTCGGATACCCACCTGAAACCCGCCAGATGATGAGCATTTTACCTGTCCGTTGTGGGTAAAGGGCGGATTCGGACATACTTGAAATCCGTGAGTAACGGGCAACGGGTGACAATGGATCTCGTGATATCCGCCCGTCGCCGCTCGATCCTCCAAAATGACGTCGTTTTAAATGCTCAATATATACACTAAATGAGGGTTAAAAAAAACCTAATCGTCATTTCCTCTTGTGACGGCCGACTGCTCCCCTTCCATCTCCACTCTTCCTCTTCTTCCCCTCCTTCCTCCCTATTATGATTCCCATTCTCCCGTCACCCTTTCCTCTCCACTCTACCTCTTATTCCCTCCTCCCTTCTGATCACCATTCTCCACTCCACTCCACTCCACTCCACTCCACTCCTCCCCTCTTCTCTTCCTCTTATTTCCCTCCCCTCTCCGCTCCTGCAACCCCAAATCGAGCGTGCTCCAATGACCCCCCCCCCCCCACCCCCCCAAATCTTTCTTCCACCCCAAAATTGCGTCGCATTTCAAATCGCGCCCGCATCTCCAATCCTTAGGTCATGATCCGTGGGCATCTGTGGGTTACCCGGATCTGTTTGCTGATGGGGACGGAAGACGTAATTCCCCCGTTTAACCTGTGCGGACGGGAACGGATTTATGATGGGGACGGAAGACGTAATTCCCCCGTTTAACCTGTGCGGACGGGAACGGGGAAATCCGTCAGCCTTAACGAACGGGGACCGGGAGGTAAGTATCGTCCCCAATCCGCCCCGATGCCATCTCTAGGTTAATAAATAATTTGTTCTATACAAAATTATATAAAAGAAACTACAAATACCAAAAATTTGTTAACCTAAATTACCTTATGGTCTATTCAATGTATCCTCATTAAACTAGAGAATATAATTTACTAAAATTTAAAATTATGGCCGACTGGTTGGGTTAGAAGCTCGTCACGAAGAATGATGGTTTTGGCTATGATAAGCATTACAAAATATACATAGTGGACAGTGGTTGATGAATCTTATGCAGTGGTACATCTCTCTTCCCCATTAACAGCATCTGCTTCCCGTTTCCTCACCCACCCAAAATCAATAGAAAACACTATAGATTCATAGAGCATTAAGCAATCATCTAAAACATCGTCTGGCTCTAACATAATGCTGAAAAACTACTAATAAGCACCCACCCCACTCCTCTCTTTCTACTTGCTTTTTAACAACTGTTGGTCCTTCGATCTCTGCGGCTGGCTGGCTGGCTGGCTCTAAATTATTGCTACATAAATATAACGTGTATGCTTCGCCAAATAGGATCAAACCATCTCCAGTATTTTGATATTGCCAGTCGAATTTGCAGCAACAAGGGTCGAGGACTGGCCCCGCCAGCAGACCGATGAGATGAACTGTGACGTGTCGTCCATTTCATGCCCGGAAACTGGGTCTGTGGTGTTGAACTTGTATGATAATGCTGGCATTGGGAAGGCTTTATGGTAGATCACAACCTGTGATTAAAACAAGTTGGCAAATGCACCATTACTGGCGATTCAACTGAGCATAAGAAAGCGAAGTCAAATCCATGTCTTCCGCATTAAGGATCTTACCTCATTTGTTTCTGAGCCAGTGGCAATGTAACCATCAGCCACTGATAGACCAACGAAGTTCTGCAACATCAATAACGCAAACGAATCAACCATCGATCTTCATACAACAGTAATTTAGGTAAAAGCCATGTAGACGAAGCCCTTTCAGTAGTCATTAAGCACAGGACCACCAAGTACATAATTATGATATCAGATTGTTCGATGGCATGTATACAGTTAGGTGAATTTGTCACAGGAAAATTATGCCTAAAATATGAGCGAGCTTCCAAGATATTTTCCAGATTACTATCGAGGAAAATCAAACAAGATGGCACAAGAAAATACAGGATGAAAGCCTACTGTAATCACATCAAATGTCATAAATCCAGTTGATATGATATGATACAAAATGGTGTCTTACCTTCACGTTCATGTGGCCCGTGAAAGAGTGCAGTGGAGCATCAATGACTCGAGATGCACAGGCTGACAAATCCCAAAGCTTCAGCGTGTTATCCGTCGATGCAGAAACAATAGTTGTCGAGTCAACAAACTTCACATAACTCACAGTTTTACTGTGGCCAACCAACGTGCACAGTGGAACTCTCGAGTTACGAAGATCATAGTAGTAAACTCTATGATCTGCTGAACCAAATGCAAGCGAGCGACTGGAATCTAGCGGAAACTGAACACAGCAGACATTGGCTTTTGTTTTTATGGTACCAATGCTTACTCCCTGCAGTAGAGGAAAAAAATGTTAAAACAAACAACATTTTGTACGTGCAAGAAAGAATCGATGCAAGCTTTTAAAAAAACATTAGATAAGGTTAGTGTAAAAAAAGAACAGATGACGTTAGTTCGTTTAGTTTTTAAAGCTCACATCCAACAAGTGCAAAAAGTAGAATTGCCTGATTGATACTCCATAGCTTAACAGAACCATCATCGCTCCCACTAGCCAACAGTGTTGGATCTACAGATGAGAAGTCAATCGACCAAACGCGCTTCTCGTGCTCTCTCATTTCAGTTACTACCTGACCTCTTGAAGCATCCCATACCTACACATTTGTCAAAGAAGGTATCCCTGAACATGGTTAAGCAAGTTTTTCCATCTTTCGTGAACAAAGTATAAAAAGGTAGAAAGAAGTAAGGCTACTCAACCCACCTGCACCACACCTTCAAAGTTACTAGAAGCAATTTGGCTTTTGATATAGCTGTTCCAACATATACTGCTCAGTTTTGACCTGCTAGCCATCTCAACCACCGGGTACTGAATATCACGGTTCTTATTTATGATTGCATCACACTCAAACACTTTTATCTTCTTATTTACACCAGCCGCAGCAAAGAACTCCCCATCACGATCAAAACTCAAAGAGCATACTAGGTTGGAGGAGTTCAATAAATCTCCCTGCTTCACATCAGCCTTGACTTTAAGCTTACTCAGAGATAGGTACTTGCATAAACCCTCAAGGAATGGACTAATCCACCCAGTTTGTCTGGCCACAACATGCTGAGCTCTTGGTTGTAACCCACTAATGGAGCTTCTTTCACTGGCTACAACTGAACCTCTTCCATCACTGCTCACTGGGGAATGTCTACTGACCGATCTTCCCAGAGGCCTTACTGTTGCTACTGGTCGGCATCTAGTCAGCAGATAAGCTGCCTCTAACTTCTTGAAGTTTTTCATGAGTCGTGAGTTTTTGAAGAGTAAACTTCCTTGAGCTTGTGACGGCATTATACTTGAGTTTTGACCATCCTCCATGTTATCATCAAATTCCTCAGCATTCTGAGTTTGACAGCCAGGTCGACATCGTTTTCTAGAACCCAGGCCTAAACAATCATCTGTCTGAGATGGGTTCATGAGCAGGAGTTCAGAAGACATAAGATCTTCCTTCCCTTTTTCTGCAGCTGTGCTTCCATTATTCCCTTGAACTGATTGATGCTTCATGACCTCTTCAATATCAGAGCACAAAAGAGAAACAGTGTCTTGCAACTTATCAGCAGCTTCCTGTTCCCTCTGTTGTATCAATAAGAGGAACTCGAGCAACAGGTCTTGCTCTTCTATTCTCTCTCTCAGCTGTATGGCTGCTTCACGCTCTTCTAGCTTATCTTTTGGTTCAACAAGAAACTCGCTCTGCAACACATCACTGTTTGTAGAGGAGACAAATAGTGAGAACAACTCTGAAACAATAGTCGATCCTCCACTAACAGAAACAGTTTATTTCCTATGTCCAAAAGCAAGATTGCTCAAGCCTTGCAGGTAAGACATACGAAAACAGAAACTAAAGGCAAAGAGGGGGGGGGGGGGGGGGGGGGGGGGGGGGGGGGGGAAGGCAATTACTTTACTAAATCCATTAACAGGTTGCTAAGTTGGGTGATTTAAGAGAATTTTATTTGCAATAGCATGCAAATGATGCAATTGAACAAACATATATTAGTTGTTTTCTGTACATTTTTTAGGTATTTGGATGCATTTAAGATTCCAAATGAAATCTCTAGCGCATCAACTGATGCACTTTCTTACTTGGAGGCAGGATAAATTTGGGGAAAATGCATTTTAGAAAATTGGTTACGACCATGGTTTTTTCTACTTTTCCGACACAATTTTCTACACAGATGCACCGAGCAAATGAAGATGTTATTATGAATACCCTCGCACAGTGACATACAACATAAATACCATGCAATTGAGACAAATAACAACAAACCAAACACACCCCTTAATGAAAATTGTTTACTCACCTCACACTAGGCCGACTGCTAGGCTCCGGATGCAACAACCATAAGCAATAAGAAGCTGCTTTTGGCCACCTCAGCAGCAGTTGGGGAGGGAGTACTCGATGCCTCAAACTAGACATAGTTCTGCTCTTTTCCTCCCTTGAACTGACAGGGCAGAACAACTGTCCATCAATTGGACTATATAGCATCAGTGTAGAAAGAAAAATAGAAGACCATATGAAGCTTCAAATACAGAGATTCACTAGCAAATAAAGTTGAATAAACAAGTACAGCGTGGCTCCATACATATTAAAAACCTCACCTCGAAGAGAAGCACACCAAGGCGATATATATCTGATGCAATGGAGCTTGTCGAACCAGCAGCCTCTTCAGGACTGGTATACCAACCAGTCTCCATAAGCAAAACTTCCTTCATAGGAAACGGTGGTTGCTTTCTTTCTCCTTCCCCAACATTCCTATCATTATCTTCTTCATTGTCCTCTGCTAATGGCACTCGAGTCCCACATGCTGAGCTTGATTGTATGCAGCTAGTTTCAGAGAAAGCATTTGTTGATACAGGCCGAAAATCCTCACTTCCACCAGCACTCTTCTGCTGCTGGGAGATGGCAAGAAGCAAAGGAGAGCAAGAATCTCTAAGCTCAAGACCCTGGTTATCGTTCAACCCATCTTCTAAAGAGTCGGACCCGGAATCAGAACCAGAAGCAGATTCAATGAAAGAGACATGGTTAAAGGAAGACATATAGAAGCAAGAAGGTCGAACATTGTTGACTACAATCCCTTGAGAATGTGCTATATTTACAATGTCAACAATTTGGGAGAATATGTGCAAGCATTCGAATTCCTCAACCGGTCTTTCGGGTTTGTCCAACCAGTGCCTCAAGCTAACATCGCCTCCCCACCTCATTGCCTGGACAAATTGGTCCAGAGAAACTTCATCCTCCAGGTGAAGTGACCTGATGGCTCAAATTAAGGCTTCCCATTGCTAACCTAACAGCCTCCTCCCCGGACTTGAAATTAAGCAACACAGCTACTTGAATACAGTCAGCAACTATGAAGCTCTCAGATTCTATTGCACTATCAGACTTCAACCGCACAGAGTCAAGGGAAAGCTCCATGGTCACTTCCATGGAATGCAAGTAAACCAGAAGAACAAGAAGACCTAAGAAGTAGAGCAACTCCCCAAGTTCTACCAGGACCTCTACTTCCAACAAAGACCATCTTCAGTTTCAAATGCGAATTCCCAAGCAAGAAAGCAAAAACCCCAGAAGCAAGCACTTGTGTGGCATGAACAAAACTTCTTTCCTGCGGTGCAATTAACAACAGATCAATCAGCAACAGTAGGACCATGATTACGGGGGGAACAAAGAATGAACAACCAAAGAAAGCACAGAAGAGGGCACAAGAAACCACTGATCAATGGAAACTTGCTTCTGGTTTTCAAGATAAAAGATATAAAATTATTGATCACCCATATCAGAATTCACAATTAAAGCACATTTCAGGCAGAAAAAGCACACAGCAGCAGAACACAACCGCTCCACAACCCCATGAAATGAAGACTACTCACCAAAACTCCCCCAACACCTTCTACAAAACTACCTTATTCTTACTTGCACTCTACACAACCATAAAAACCATCATCACCATCACAAAGCTTTGTTCTTTTGAACAAAACCAATAAAAGCTCACTAATTGATCACCGGTACAGCCCTGGTATAGAGATAGAAAGGCAGAAGAGAGGAAACGTACCACAGATTCAGTGAAGGAAGCAAGGTGAAGATACTCCTGAACCACACAAACGTAAGACAATAATCACCAACACTAGTCCTGCTGCAGCTTGGGGCAAATTAAAGAAAAGAAAGTACTGTTGAAAATTGACAACCTCAGAAGAATTTCTGATCTTTTCCCCCCTCCCACCCTCCCTTTAATGTGGGTTCTCTGTTCTTTTCCTAACCACTAGAAAACAAAGGCAACCCACACAAAAAGAAAAACCCCCTACATGCAGATTTGGGAGGTGAAATTTGGAGCAAAAGGGAGCTTGGGGAAAAAAAACAACAGGATCAAATACAAATGCACACTTCTTCTACTTCTATTTTACACCATTGCTTCTTCATCAGGAGGCCCTACGGCTACGCCAACCGACCGACTGCTACTTCATTTATGAATGCCAAGATTTTTTCTAAAAAAAAGGACGAAAATTGTTTCCTCTCGTTTTCTTCTTGTTAAAAAAATGGTGGGCTGAAGAAGTGTTATCTGTTGGCTTTTGCCATGGAAGAATAAGGTTCACTCACTCTGTCGCCATTCATTATCTTTTTCCCGCTCTATTCCCACCTCAACGACGTGGCGCCACCATAACCTCAACTTCCACTGCAGCAGCCTGCAACCCAATATAGATTTTTTCCTTTTCGTTTCTGATGTTTATATCAATAACATAAAAAAAATCATTTTTCTTTCCCGGGAAACAAACGGAAAGTGCGGGCATTTTCCTCCCCTCGAAAAGATCCATTGGAGGTTGCCGTGAGGGAGAAAAAGAACATTAAAAAATGAAATGAAACATGCCCAAACGGGCAAGTTTCTTTCTTACTTTCCTCTTCTCTGCCTCGATTGGATTGAAGTATATGGTTTTCGATCCCCAACTCCAAGGATTAAGTTTCCACGATTAAATTAGTAACAGTGAGTGATGATCGCTGACTGTAGTTAACAAACAGCGAACTTGGTCAATCATTACATTTGTCACAGACCACAAACAACTAAAGTTGGGGCTTTTTCGCCAAAACGTTAAAACAACTTCATGAGGTGCATGTATATACATATGATTCTCATACTCAATGAAAACTTATATGATACGCATTATGGATGGTGGGTTTGCGTGTTAGGATTAGAGACAGAAAGATAGAATCAGTTATTGAAAGTATGAGGTGTTCACTCGTTTTAGAGTTTTATTTGTCGCTACTACAAATTTTCAATAGGATTTAGATAAATCGGCTCATGAGTCCCTACAAACTAATATTAGAAAGCAACAAGTTTAAGATTTGTGTGTTCGTAATCAACAACGAACCCAAAAAATTTTTTTAGGGTGCCCTCTCCTGAATTAAATTAGATGAAAAAAAATAATTTCTTACATTAGAAATATTTATCATGACGTGTTTTCGTATTCTTAAAAAATTGAAAACTACACTCGATTTTTACAGTCTTCAACAACAACAAAATTCAATATATCCTATTATACAATCATTCACAACATTAGACTCTATTCAATTTCAAAATTTGTTCTTGATGTAGTCTAAACCTGAACAATATTTGTCAATACTTGTAGTTGCAAGCTTCATCAATATCATAAGGGAATTGAGAATTTAATTTTTAGAGTTTGGATACATTTGTTATAATTGAAATTTGTTTTAGATCTTATAATTGCATTTACATTTTAAACATAACAATAAATTATTGGTTTGTATTGTGGTGTATAATACTGACTAATATTTGTAGTTTTACTGATCAAATCACAAAGGCCACTATCTATTTTTTATTTTTACCCAAACTCAAAATACTATTAGATTATCAATAATTTCTTGATTCGGGTCCAATTGTACACATTTTGCCCCTCATTTCTTAATAGTTTGACTTTGTATTTCATCGTTCCTCGACATATTTCACGCTAGGTTGTGCTTGTTTTGATACATTTCAGGTCCTAGCACGTGTGGAAGGTTCGAGGACGAGTTCGGGACGATTGGAGGTCAAAAAGCACAAAAATCAAAGAAAAATCCAAAGTCCGTGACAATTGCCCCATAATAGTGAAGCGCGGGCGTCCAAGAATTAGCTGCAGTTCACGGCCTCTAAGGCCGTGAACTGGATCCACAAACTGTGAACAACGAGGTGTCCATGAGGGTTCCAGAGGTTACTGACGACCAGGCAGTTCACGGTCTCTAACTTTGAGTGCAAACCGTGAACCCTGGAGAGTGAAGCGGAGCGTTTTGGAGACGACGTTGAGTTCACGGTCGTGAATAGAGGTCGTGAACTAGGCTCGAGCTGTGTATAAAAACAGCAACAGAAGGAAGAAGAATGAGAGCTGATTTTTGGGAGAAGGAACATTTTCTTTCTCTAGGGTTTCGACCCAAAACACCAAAGGGGAGTTCTAGAGAGTGATCTTGGAGCTTAATTGAAGACATTGATCAAACTTGGAAGCAAGGAATCAAGCCTAGAAGAAGAAGAAGAAGAAGAAGAAGAAGAAGAAGAAGAAGAAGAAGAAGAAGATCTAGAGGTTTCTTTACTTATTTTGTTGTAAAGGATCTAGTAGGTTGGGTTCATCTCTCCTCTCTCTCTCTCTCTCTCTCTCTAGAAACTCACCCTCTTCTCTTGGGATTAAGAACCCTAGGTCTAGATTTTGATTTGTTGTTGATGTATGTGACACATTCCATGTTTGATTGTTGATTATACTTAATTGATGGATGTTTTCATGAATGGCATGAGTTGGGTTTCCATTTTCATGTATTGAGATTTTGACCTAGGAGGGAGATAATCCCCTTAGAGCCCCCCTTTTTGCGTCTTCGGGTCACTCCTATCGTATATTGTCCGAGTAGTCCCCGAGGGAGTTTATTCGACCGGTCTCCTAGCATTATACGAAACCTAGGTTGAATAGAGCATTACCCATCCATCGATTCGTCGTTCCGGGTCATTCCCGAGGGAGTCCATCTCCAAACGGTAGTGTATTTGAGTCGATCAGCTAGGAGGATACCCAAAACCAATCCAAAGAACGGACCTAGGATGATTCAACCCAATAGAGCTCTCAACCTTGTAAATATCTAGGTTAGTGGTTAGTCCAGGTTAGTTAGTTTAGTTTTATTATCACTATCCTAGGTTGGCTAGATAATGAACCCTAAACCTGAGGTAGGGTAAGCCTAGATCCACGTGGTACGATCTTATTGCTTGCTTGCCCTGTGCTACACCCGGTCGGCTGTTATACTTGGTCGTCGATCGGGATGTTGTAGTTAGAACAAGACATTTCTAAATTTTTTAGAGTTTTCCCAAGTAGGGATGACAATGGGTCGGGTTGGGTTTTGCCAAACTCAAACCCAAATTCATTGGTTTATCCGTAAAAAAATATAGAGTAAATTCCACTGGGTTTGGAAAACTCAAACCCAACCCGCTGGGTATCTGCGGGTTCCCATGGGTTTTTTTTATGGTAAAAAAAATTACAATAACAAGTTGCTATCAAAATAAAAGTCCAACATCAATTTCCTCAAACAAATTATCCATACATAAAACACTAGTCTAGAAAATTCAACATGTGTCTCTTTGGCAGCCTTCAACATGTGGCTCTGCTTCCAACCCTAGATTCTTTGTAAGAGCTTCTCTTCAAGAAGCCTAAATGTCTCTGCCTTCGATAGAGCCACCAAGGACGGGAGACCCATATACTTATCCCCGATACCCACCACTCCAACTCCTAATAGCCTCGCCATCGCATGAACTTCCGTATCCAAGAGATTCGCACAGAAACAAACCGCTGATTTATCCAAATTCACTCGTTGTCCACTCAAATGCTCGTACTTCTGGATCAGAGTCTTGAGATTAGCACACTCCTCCGTCCAATTAAGTGTTAAGTCCCTCTCCAAGGTATTTGCCTGCTCCCAATCAATTGGGTATTCCTCCTTAATAGCAGAAATTTCCGCCTCCAGCACACGAATTTGCCTTGGTGAATAAGAAGTCCCTGCTCGACTCCATTGAAACAGTTTATGAAAAAGCTTCTTCAGCCTAGTCCAAAGTTGGAAGATTGGGGAACCATGAATTTGTTCAGTTCAGACCTCCTTCACCATCGGCCGCACCTCCGGATTCGAGGCCCAACGAGCATCAAATCGAAAGAGGGAGCGAGACGTTCTCGAGTATTGTTTATCAGCAACAAGAAGTGCTCAGTGGTCAGAGCCTAGATCCATGCCATGGGTAACTAACGAATCGAGGAATTTCTCCATCTAGAGATCATACGCGAAGGCCATGTCCAACCTTTCCTAAATACACGCACTCCCCATCCGCCGATTAGACTAAGTGAAAGGATTACTCCGAAAGCCTAGATCCTGAATTCCCAATCCATCGACGAAGGCTCGAAAATCCTAGGACTGCCGCGGGTTCCATGAATTTCCCCCTATTTTTTCATCGGACGAGAAATCCTGTTAAAATCACCAACCATCACATATATGGTACATGTAATCCCGTACAATAATTACGTATACTATCAATTTGCATTACACGCTCACTAGTTCGACAACTCAAGAAAACAAAAACCACCACCAAATTTATTTCATTAAAAACCAAACTCACAGAAAAAAAAAACAAATAACTAAACAACACTGAGGCACCGCACCACTCTCAGGGACCACACTACTGTTAACCCTCCTGCTGAGTCAACAACATCGACCAAATGAAAATCAGAAAAACCAAGACCCTATAACCTGCGAGATACAACTTTACGACGCGACCAAGTTTCCGACAAGAAAACTACATCAAGATTATTGACACGAACTACACCTAAAATAGACTGGAATGTGAGGGATGGCCCAATCCCACGCACATTCCATGCCAACAGTCTCATTTGGCACCTTGGGGCCACTCTCGACTGGCTTCCTCCACCCGCCACCGCATATGTCTGTTCCCCAACAATCGTCTCCGCTAGGTCCTCCAAGCATAATTTTTTCATAGGTGTCGGATCATCGGCCAAGTTGTCCACCAGTTTTGGAGCCCTTTTCCTATCATCGAGGCATTCCACGTCGGGTGCCACCATCTGCAACACTCCCCTGGCAGCAGGGACGGAGCCAGGATTTTTAAGTAGGAGGGGCCAACAAAAAAAAATTGTGACAAAAATATCACTTCCAAATTATACGCAAGATTTGTATACAAACACTTACATATAATTATGTGCAATCTAAACAACAAGATATATTTCTTTCGGAGTATTTTATCATGTAACATATTACATATATTTTTACGGTTTGTAATTGAAACTTCGGGTATACTATAACCATAAGACCAAAATAAGAACACGATAAAAATTCACTTAGGAATTACGTAAAATTTAAATTAAAGTGGGAAATAAACTGAAAATGCACATAACAAAGCCTGGAATCACATGAAAAGATGTAAAACTCGCAAATAAACTGACAATTAGTGAAATAAACTAGTCATATCAAAGCTTGAAATTAAATGAAAAGACAAAATTTGCCTTAAAAATGTAGAATAAACGAAAAAAAAAGCCTAGCACAGTTTGAAATTACAAAAAATTCCCCTTTCAACATTGAAATTAACGGAAAAGGTAAATTTTGC